CCACCTCAATCATATTGCCCTCCATTTCTCGGTAAATGGGAGTCTGAGTTGGGTAGACCCTTCACTGAGCAACAACGGTGTACAGTTCTATTCCTAGCACATAGATCATCCTTGGCATGCAAATTCCAGGAGCAGGGCAACAAGATCTTAACCCGATGGTACCAAGTCCTGTATATCCTGAGCAAAATGAATGGCTCAATCCCTCCGACATGTTGGAGATGTGACCAGGCTCCGGGTACCATGCTTCATATATTCTGGCAATGTCCTTGCCTTTGCCCTTTTTGGACGGCTGTGAGGTCGATAATCAACTGGATGGTGATTGGCGCCCTACCAGACGATCCAGCGGTCTGTTTATTACACATGACCCACCTCACTATCAAATGCTACAAAAAATCCCTGACTATACATATGCTGAATGCAGCAAGGTCATGTATACCTCTGATGTGTAGACAATCCAGACCCCCCACAATGAGACTATGGTTCTCCATCGTGGATGAGATTTATCGAATGGAGGACCTGACCGCATCTATCCCATAATGAGGAAGAGAGGTTCCGAACCGTCTGGAGACCGTGGTCCTATTTCACAACCACCCCTGACTATGTCACAGTGATGGGCGCAAACCTCGCTGCTTCATCGGCCGAGGGATGAGAGTGAGGTCATACATACCACGGGGGCGGGCCCGTGGGGATCAGTTCCTCCATGGTCTAATTCTGTTTTTTGACTTCTTCCCTCACCCCTTCTTTCCACCTGATCCCAGCTCCATAAGACTCTTCTGTATCTGCCTAGTCCGGGAGATACCATATTGAGGTGGAAGTCCACCCACTCTCTCACACAAGGCGTGACTCTTGAAATTAATACGGATAGGACATGTACCCAGAGCGAGAGGGGTGTGTACGTCCCACGTAGTGTTCAGTACATGCATCATTAGATAGTTATGTTAGTCGTATAACAATGATCGGACCAGGGGTCTTGAATAAAGCATATTTGTGAGTTTGATTGTAGCACGTTTTTGCACATATGCCAGAGGGCAGAAGATGGTATTAATAGACTCGTGCCTCCTGCAGTGGTGAGAACTTAAGGCTCATAGGCGGGTCTATTCGGGAGGCGCAATTTATGGCGTATTTGTTAACCATATATCTGAAATGGCATATAGCATTTGGTTCAATTACTGAATGCAATATGCATATCTAGACCTTTTCAGTGTGCTGTCTGACCAGTTCTTTTCAATTGACGTGATATACCCGATGAAATGCTTTTACAATGCTTTGTATTCAATTATCTGTTTGATTATGTGTTAATAAACTCAACATTGAAAAAAAAAAAAAGTGTAACTATGGGCAAAATAAAAAGTGACACACAGTATATGAGTCTGTCAGTAGTATTAACACAGCATTTTTTTTGTTTTTCTGTTTCTACCTGTAACATGGTTTAATTACCTGTTGATTCTGCCAGTAGAGCTGATCTTTTTCAACTTTATTTAATAGGGAGATCCTATTTGCTCTGTAGTGAAAACGCACAGCAGCATTGTCACCCTGCCTCTGCAAAAGACCCTTATACTCACCTTACCAGTGATCCCTAGCTGCTCCTTTCTCTGCAGCAGCAGTCCACAATACCTGGCACTTCTGGGTATGCAGGACCATATGACCTCCTCTTCTGCGGCAAAGGACAAGTCTAGAAACTAATCGCTAGGCTTGAGCACTGTCAAATTACTTTTACTCGCCTGGATCATCATCGGTCATTTTACTGCCAGCTGCAGAGGAGGAAGGAGCAGCAAGCGATTGCTGGGAAGGTGAGTATTGGGGGTTTGGGGATGGGGGGCAACCTTGCTGAGACACTGTCACTTATCCATGCATGGGCAAGGTGAAAGCATCTCTTTGAAAAGTGTAGGTTAGGCAAAACCCCCCAAAACAACATGCAGTACACTGTAAACTGCTCTCTCCTCCCCCCCAGGTAAACATTTTTTAAAAAAGGTCTATCCTTTAGGTCTGGTAGGAATTTTGAGGAGCAACCCCACCCCCAAAAAACACGGGGGCAAAACATAGGGTCTCACCTAAAATTCCTACCAGATCCCTTGATCTGAGCACAGGCCCGGCAGGAAAGGGGGGGACACACGATCGAGCACCCCCATCCCTGTGCCATACCAGGCCACATGTCCTCGACATTGGGAGGGTGTCCCCATGCTGATGGGGACAAGGGCCTCTTCCCCACGACCCTGACCTGGTGGTTGAGGGGGTCTGTGAGCAGGGGGGCTTATTTGCATCGGGGTACCCCTTTACTTGGGCACCCAGATGCCGCCACCCGCCCTTTTGAATGAGTAAGGGGTACTTATACCCCTACTCATTCACTAAAAGGTTAAAAGTAAATGTAAATAAAGAAACCACACATTTTAAAAAAGTCAGTTTTTGACAAGTCCTTTATTTTTTTAAATTGATCCATCTATGTAATCCAACGTCAATCACGATGAACGATGCCCGACGACCTGCAGGAAGAAAAAGTCGATGCCAGCCGACCCGTCCGAACCCGATGAAGACTTGCCGCAAAATGACAGCTGTGGCTCGAATGTAAACAAATGGGTGAAGTGAGCCGTGATGTCACGGGGCTCGTTCCGCCCATTTGACATTCTCAGCTGTCATAGAACACAATAGTATTCGAGTGCTATTGTGTTATATAAACTGACTTGCTTTGAAATTAAAGGACTTTTTCAAAATGTGTGGTTTCTTTGTTTACATTTAACCCTTTAGTGAATGAGTAGGGGTACAAGAACCCCTTACTCATTTAAAAGGGGGGGCGGCGGCATCTGGGCGTCCCCTTAATTAAAGGGTGTAACAAGGACACTCGACTGTAGACAGGAAGTGAAAGTAAAATGCAGTTTTATTATGGCAAACACAAAAAGTCTTTCCATCCACAGGGTAGACTCCCCCTGTTGCACAAGACAGTTTCTAGCAGCAACATAAAAGGACAGTCTTTAGTTTTGCTCTGTAGCTTTCCACAGCTCCAGGAAACTCACACTGCTCACCCCTCCACAGGTCCTAGGGTCACCGACCTTCCCGAGCTCTCCCAGCCTTCCCTGGCTGTTCCACGTGTCCAGCACGCGCCTGAGTCTGCTGTGCTCTGTGCCTCCTGCACCCACACAACTCTCCCACAACTCTGAGCACTGGGCTGGCTTCCTAATGAGGCTGCTCTCAGCCACTTGATCAGCCCAAGCTGGTCGTTGGTAACACCTGGCCCCAGAACTGGAGATCTCAATCCACCCAGAGCTCTAGAGATTTACAGAGCTCCAGATCCCAGCTACAATAAGGAAAACTTGAAAAGTTTGAAAAGAACCTGAAAAGCAAGGCTCTTCCTAATAACATGGTTGCCCTTTGGCTGAGAGTCCTGGGTGTCAAAGTTGCCATACTGCACTGCCACAAGGGGTACCCAGATGCAAATAAGCCCCCCTGCCCGCAGACCCACACAACCCCCGGGTCAGGGCTGTGGGGAAAAGGGCCTTGTCCCCCATCAGCATGGGGATACCCTCCCAATGCCAAGGGCACGTGGCCTGGTAAGATGTAGGGCTGGTAAACCCCCCTACATGTCTAGGTTTTATATTGGGTTTTTTTGGGCACCAAAAATTAACTTGTGTATTTTTTAGGAAAACAAAAACGTATCCATTATCATTCTTGACCATACTTCAACTAGTAGAGTCACTGCTGTCACAAGGTATGAATACATATATTGATTTCTTTCACAGAAAAAAAAGTTGTAGACTTCATGTCCAAGAGCCTGCCAAAACACTGTGCATAGGGCTTTCCCTACGACCCTGACCCGGCTCTTGGGAAACGTAGTTCTGTGTGGCAGGTCAAAAAGGTACTTCTCCAAGCAACTACCCCTGCAAAAATTTTACACGTTTGGTAATGACATCACAGAGAATAATAAAAGCTGTATCTTCCAAATAATACTGGGACATGCTCTGGAGGGAAAAAGGGAGTAATGCCTAAATGAATTAAAGCTGGTCTCCAGGTATGACCCTAACTGGGTCATACCTGGAGACCAGCTTTAACTCATTTAGGCATTCTTTCTTTTTATCAACAGTGCTTTAAAACATTTCAAATCTCCATGCTTTTATATTTATACTAAACATCAAAACTGAATATGCCATTGTTGGCTAGATGGAACATTGTAGAAATTATATTACAGTAAAACGAGGTTTAAATAGATTTTGATTATATTACATTTAAATTAAAGTGAATCAATTACATTAAATAAAACATGTAGGCTGCTATTATTGCCTACTCCTTTAAAAATTGTAGATGCTTGGCTGTCATGCTATTCTAAAATTTTGAGTCACTAACCCAGAACAAGCATGCCTATTAAAACTACAGATAGGAAGTCAAATAAGGATAACGATGAGTTGTTTAAATGGTATATGTTATTTTGTAACACTGAAATTGACATTTTCACACTTAAAATATCAGCCACTGTAATTTGATATCTTGAAAAAGCAAATAAAGATTATATTTAAAAATTATAGTGGGATAGAGTTTCCATAATGCTACACTTAAGTGCAAAAATATGAATGGGTCCGATATATTTCTATGACCGTTCGATGTTTGCTGTGGTACACCTGCTGTAGCTGACTGAATTTTCCTGCTGGTGACCACTTGAATGTGAACACAAACTCAGAAATTACTAACTTAGGTATGACAGGCAAGCACCTAGTATTTTCAAAAGGAAACAAGTGATGACCACCATCACTATGTTTCTCTTAAGTAAATGCACCAAAGTAAAGAATATTTTTCTACATGATATATCTTTAGATATACAAAAGTTGAAATTATAAAATGTGTCTTGTATTTATGTATAGTTTTCATTTTGATGGAGGAGTAAACAAACATTTATTTTACCTGTGTTTTTTATAAGCTATGGACAGACTATTATTATGTTAAACATGATCTAACACTTCCAACATTTGGGTTAAAAAGATTTATAGAGAAGAGGGTACTAATAAGAGAAATCTCACCTGTCCTCTTTGGTGACTTGAGAATAATAGGAACGTTGTCGAATAGCAGAGTAGAATGAGAATGCTTCATTAAGGTAGCTTGTCTCTGATGTGCGGAGACTGTGGGAGAAAAAGAAGCTCTTGCTACAAAACTTACCTAGAATTACTGATAATACTACATATCTCTGCTTATTTGAACATGCACACATACAGACAAACCTTTATACATTTATAATACAAATAAAGGACAGCTAATTTAAATTTAATTTGAGCACCCAACAATACAATGTACAACCCTAATTCCAAAAAGTTGGGACACTGTGTCAAATCTACATACAATCTACAAAATGTGTAATGATTTGCAAATCTCATAAACCCATATTTTATTTACAATGGAAAATAGAAAACATATCAAATGTTTATACTAAAAAATTTACCATGTTTAGAAAAAATAAGGTAATTTTGAAAATGATGGCAGCAACACGTCTCAAACAAGTTGGGACAGGACAACAAAAAGCTGGCAAAGTAAGTGGCACTAACAAGGAAGAGCTGGAAGAACATTTTGCAACTATTAGGTTGATTGGCCAAAGGTCAGTAACATGATTGGGTATAAAAAGAGCATCATAGAGAGTCAGTGTGTGTCAGAAGTAAAAGGGACAGGATGTGAGAGGTCAGCTGACAGGATGTGAAGGGGAGTGGCTACTGAACGGCCGTGAGTCAGGGGAGCTCCGAGAGCCGATGGAGCGGTGAGAGAATGCCGAAGACCCTGGTAGGATGAGGAAGAGCAACCAGAAGAGAAATGGAGCTACAGCCGAAGGAGGGAGATCCATGAAAAGGTATCTCACAACGTAGAGGGTACAGCCTAAATGGAGAGATGACTAAAGGATTCAGCAGCTAGATACCTCAGACATGCATCCCTCCCATACTAGCTCACCGACACTGCAGGAGCGTCCTGTGACTCAGATCCGGCAGTGTTGGTCTCAAGAGAAATCAGTGCAGAGATGGGGAATCTTCCATGCAGGATTTCCCTACTAAGGCAGATATGGCCCATATGTTACCAGCATTGGAAAAACAGATAAAACAAGATTTGAACGGTATGAGAACAGACCTGACATGTTTACTGCAGCTAGTGGAGGAGTCAGAAAAATTGGAACAGCATGTTATCCGTGATTTACAAGAAGCACATAGAAAATTCCTGCAATCTATGAGAGCAGTAATGTATAAACTGGAGGATTTGGAAAATAGAGGTAAGAGGAAAAAAATCTAAGAATATGAGGCTTACCTGAAAATGTGTTGGAAGGGGATTTAAAAGACGTTATTTGGGAAATTTTTAGCCCATTATTGAATAAAATCAGACTCAGCCCCACTTTTAGACGAAGTCCACAGGACATACCGCCCTAGAGGCATGGTTTTGGAGGTACACCATGATGTAATATGCCGGTTTCCTTGTTAAAAAGGATAAAGAGGAGATTATACGTAAAAACCGAGGGGTCCCATACATGCATTATAAAGGAGCACATCTGCTAATATTCCCAGATTTGGCGAGAGAAACATTACTGAGACACATTGCTTTTAAACCCCTACTTGATATTCTTAAAGCAGAAGAGGTACAGGTGGGAGTTTCCAACATGCTTGATCGCAAGAAAGAATGGCCAATCATATCACTTACGATTCCAAAAAGAAATAGGAGGGATTCTGTAGTGGACTTAGAATCAGAACTCCCGAATTACCAGGATTGAAAAACGACAATGTAAGCCTTACTCAGCTAGCTGATAAGAGATGGGTACCACCCGCCAAAAAAAGACATGTGGAGACATCTGGGTTACCATTAAGCGATGCATTAAATTAAATGAGTTTGATGATTTGCTCTCTTCTCCCTTCCTCGATGCTGAAATAGCAGAGGGGGGGACGGAGCAGGGGAATAAATATACAAATAGAGGGGGATAGGATAGGAGCGGGGGAGGGTTCCCCTTTTTTTTGTAACCGCCCAATAGTAACAACAAACTCCAAGAAGAACTGCTCCCCGTGGACTCGGCCTGTTTTTAGTTTTCTTGCGAACATTAGACTCCCTATTAGTGAACATGGTTCACAATTTAGCACTAATTGGGTAACTGTCAGAACTATTGGGCCGAAAGGAATCAATTTCATAAGCCTAAACATGTTATTTTACAGATGTGTCTATGGGCATACTGGTGGCAATTTTGTCTGTTTGCTAAAAGGTGAAGAAAAGTTCATTCTTCTTGAATAGAGACATTCACAGAGAAGGAGTTAGGAATTTTAGCATAAATAGTCTCCTGATATTCTAATTATTTGAGTTTCACCTGTATATGCAGCATCTATATGCCTACTTAATTGACTGACTTCAAGTAAAGTTTTATACATGTACTTTTATATATCCCAAACTATATTCATTATATATTGTTTGAGTGTACCCATTGAAATATATTGTTGTGTATTACTAATAATGGGGTTTTTATATTTAAGTGCAAAGAATTAGGTGGTAGATGCCAATGTATATTCTTTTCTTATATGCATGAAAAATCTCTGGGTTTTCAAAACTAATAACCTCACTTTTAAGGAATTTAGAGGAGGATTGCTAATGGCTTTAGGTTAGATCTTCTCTAAGCTGTAAATCGAAGAAGCAGACCTAAAGTCTGACACTGTGTAATCAAGTATTGTAAACATTTTATATTCATGTCTTTTTCCAAGGGCTGAGGTTAGAGGTTATCTCACTGCCTTAACTTTTCGAAATTAGTGAAATTAAATGAAATGCTCCCAACCTTTATATAGAACAATAGTGCCCCCTGGTGGTGATTGTGAGGGAAAGGTCTAGGGCAAAAAGGATATATTTGACGTCATGTTTCACGTCAATAATCACGTGGAAGACCAAACCAAGCCCACATCACAGGGGGGATATAGAGAGAGGGGACCAGGAGCGCAGAGGCAGATTCCAACACCAAGGCAGTAAGCAAATACATTCCAAGGGTATAGCTCAGAAGCTGAGGATGGCTGTCCAAGGAAACTGAACTAAAGAGAACCTGACTATCCCTGGTTGCTGAGCATTGACTGCTGACTTCTTTCAAACAACTACATTTTAAATTGCTGGTAAAGTATACTTTCTAAAGTATATTAGGCAATTCATTAGCCACATATATATATTTGGGTAAACCATTGAGTTCTTGTAGGATCAAAATTGATTTGAGATAGTTTTTAACTGAAGTAAAAATTGTGTCTTTCAATTTGGGGAGATAAATATATACATTTGTTATATACATTTGTATAATCTCCAGGAAACTGATGTCAGTTTCTAGTCAATGGTCTAGTCTGATATATATTGAATTAAATTGGTGGAAATTTTTCTTTACTTTGACTGGTCTTGGCTCATTGCCAACCCTGTGCATGATGGGATAAATATCGCCCATGCGCTGTTAAAAGTTTGAGTTTGTGAATATCTGTGCTGGGAGAAGTTACCCTGGGATAGAAATTGAAAATGTATTGTATGGAAAGGAATTTAAATGGTGTTAAATGTGATATATTATAATGTAAAGGGGCTCAATTCTAGTGGTAAAAGACACCTATTGTACAGGTAATTATGAAGATATGCAGGACATATCGTGTTCCTACAGGAAACTCATTTAACCCATGTTACAACCACTAGATTATATACAGGTCAGTACAGCAATTGGTACTATAGCCTCTCTGACGTTAATAAAGCGAAAGGGGTGGCTATAGGAATTCATAAGAGTATACCCTTTCAATTGGAAGACATGATAGCAGACATACAAGGGAGATATTTATTCTTGAAAGGTCAGATAGGAAATGTGAAATGTACTCTGGTAAATGTATATTGCCCTTATCAAGGCCAAGCCTAATTTGTATCCCAAGTTTCCACACGCTTGTTAGACTTTATGCATGGAATAATAATAGTGGCTGGAGATATGAACATGGCTTTAGAGCCTGATCTAGATACTTCAACAGGCAAAGCAAATATAACATTTAGACAGCTACCCTGTTTCCCCGAAAATAAGACCTACCCTGAAAATAAGACCCAGTACTATTTTTGGGAATTGCTAAAATATAAGACCTACCCTGAAAATAAGACCTAGTTGTGACCATTCCCAGGGCCGGTGGTGGCATAAGGGGGAACTTGAAGAGCCGCGGGAAAAGCAGGAGAGAATCAGCGGTGCCAACGAAGCCAGCGCTAGAGAAAGCGAGGCAGCACTGAAGGGAGCAAAGCCGCATAAGCCGATGCTTCCTCTATAGCGCCGCCTCCTGTCACAGGCAGAGTGATACCAAATGCACTCCATCTGTGCGGAATCGATAGTGAAAGTGTGCTTCGCTCATTCTGGCCCGCGATTGGTTAGCAAATTGCTCTTGGAAAGGTACGGCACCCCAGATCACCATATTTTTGTACATGAATACATGTAGACTGTTGTACATGAATAAGTGTGGATTGACCTAGTGTGTTGTTTTGAGCCAAAAAATATATAAGACAGTGGGGTTGATTTACTAACCTTATAAACACGCCACGAACAAGTATGCACCTCTGTAGTGTGTTCCCTCCCAGCATGATCTATTGGTGGAATCTAGACACCTTTGTAGTGTGTACACACCCAGCAGGTGTGTTGTGCAAAGCCCTGCATGAATTGCAAGGTGATGTTGTGTAAATTAGCTCTACATTGTGTTGCTTGCGTTGATGAATGCAGGAATGTAAATGCATGAGCTAACCATTTTTGTCTAAACTGTGAAGCAGCATTATATATGCATCATGTGCATGATTTTTCCATATATGGCATTAGTGGAAATATGCTTTTAGAGACTTTTTGGTTGATAAATACATTTTGCTGTGTAAAAATCACACGCACCTAGTGCGTGCGTGTGTTTTAGGTTAGTAAATCACCCCCAGTGTCTTATTTTCAGGGAAACACGGTATCTAGAAGAAAAGGGTTACTGCAGGAGATGCAACTTATTGACACTTGGGAGATTGATGCATCCAAAAGAAAAGGATTATTCTACAGTACATAATCTATATTCACGATTAGATATAATATTTTTAAACCATTATTATTTAGGGTGCTTAAAATCGGCCTATATAGGGGTAGCTACTATTTCAGATCATTCCCCAGTGATAATGGTTATTGACT